ACAGCGTAAGACTTGTTTTTGTATTCTAGGTGCAGGTTCCTTATCAGGTATGTGAATCGCAAATGTTTCTTCTCATTCTGTTGGTTGTCTTTTCACTTTCCTGGTTGTCTCCTTTGAAGCGTGAAAGTGTCTAATTTTGATGAAGGCCATTTTATCTCTCAGATGCCATTCATAGGAAACCATGGCCTCATCCAAGGGAGCCCATTAATACTGAACCCCTGCCCGTCCAGTGTGTTTCCGTATGCCGAGCGGCTGACCTCAGCCTTCGTGTCTCAGGTGAGGACAGACTGACCCTAGGGGCAGAGACCCGAGGGATCAGAGTGCTGCTGAGGTCCTGGGAAGAAGGCCCAGGCCACGGGATGAGGGAGAAGTTGTTAAGGCCCACCTCTCCCTGCGATGGGCCATCCTCAGAGGTCATGTTCGTGACTTTGCAGGCATCCCTTAGGTCCCCACAGAGCTCTCTGTGCCCCAAGCAGCTCGGAGGACGTTAGCACTTGGCATAGGGTAGCCCTGTGGTCGTCAGGTGGGCCGCGCATCGGAGGGTAGCTTGGGTGTGTCAGAGCCCAGGGCTCAGGCACCGTCTGTTGTGGGGCCTTCTGGTCCCATTGCCTGTCCCCCACAGGTGTGGGCAGCTCACCACCTGCTCCTCAGCACTGTGGAAGTCGGGGTCCCAGCCTGTGCTCCTGCACAGGCCCAGCAGGTCCTGGGAGTGAGGAGATGGGCTGGGCACAGGACCGCAGGCTGTGGGAGCTGGGACCGGCTGGAATGCCCAGGCCTTGCCTCGGGGACAGCACGTCTTTAGATTATTCCAGAAAAGCCTGAAACCCAGAGTATGGTGGCGAGTGACGGAATTAAGAGACATTTTTTGTGACTTAGGTTGTCTCTCCAGCTCTGCTGTGGAGTTCCTCTAACACAGTATGCCATGTGATTGTGGAACGATGTGCTAGACTGCAGAGTCCATGCCGGCTGAAAGCCGTGGGTGTGCCTGTTTGTCTGCAGACTTGGGCATCTCCTCCCTGGTAGACCTCCCCTGTCCCTGCCTGCTGGGAGGCTCCCTCACCTGGCCCTCCAGGTCGGTGTCCACGTGTGTCCCTTGCCTTCGGGACTGGCTCTCCTGCTTAGGCGGGGTGGCTGTGCCAGCCGGGGTGCACACGTGTATGGCTTAGGCTTGGGCGTAGGGTCTGTAGGGTTGCAGAGTTGGGACAGGACGAGAATTGGAGAGTTGTTAGTGTAGCAGGATTTTTAGGGACCTGTGGTTACCGTGGCTCCGTGACGGGAAACCACGGGGGGGGGGTGATGTAGCAGGGTGAAGTTCACTAGCGGCCGTGTGAAGATCCCAGTGGGCCTCTGAGGACGGGGCAGCTTCACAGCCATCCTGGAGCCCTGGGGGTGCGTAGGGGTGTGCCCGGGAGCTGGCAGCCTGTGCTGTGATGTGCCTGCACGAAGGTGTCGCGTTAATAGAGGCATAACGTAGGAGGAAAGAGGTGGATCCTCTCCTGTGTGCTAGCCCGAGGTGAGGCAGGGTCCTTGCCTGCCCAGACCCGTGCGCCTCCTCCACAGCCTCTCAGCGGCTCTCAGGGAGCTTTGTGGAGATCCGGAGGCCTGCGCTGCCCCTGAAGCTCTGGGCGGTGAGTCTGGCTCTCGTCCCTCCAGAAGCGTTCCTCCACGATTCTTGGGCAGCCGGTGTTCAGAAGGCTGTTCTGGAAGCTCAGAATCAGACGGAGGGAAGGACACGAATACCAGGAACAGAGTCTGGCACGCGCTATTGCGAATGACACCTGCTGCGCACTTCTGTGCCAAGAGCACGTTCTCGCTCCTGCCAACAGCCCTGTAGGGTGGAAACCGTTGTGATCCTATTTCCCAGGTGCTCCCAGCGAGGCCCAGGCCCAGACCACAGAGCCAGTGCACACGGGGAGCCGAGGACTGGCTCCTGGGACCTGCCCTCATCCATGTTCCAGAACTTTCTAACGGGTGGGTGAGCACAGAGGTCCGGGGAATCAAGATCTTTCTCCCTGTAGTTCTGAACCTGTCAGACCCACACTCTGTGGAGAAGGAAAGGAGCTGGACCCCGGAGAAGAACCGTTGATGACAGGTGCTCCCCTGTTGGGATGACACGGAAGGGGGACGGTCCCGCGTCCCTGCAGGCACTGGGCTGACCGCCCCCTACCTGGTCCACCGAGGCCCGGTGTGCACGCTACCCGAGCCACCCACCCACACGGATGGGGCACCCAGGGTGCGTCCAGGCAGCCTGGAAAGGTCACACGGCCCTGGGAGGCCGGCAGGGAGTGCATATCAAAGCCTCTCAGAACTAAGAGGTTTTTCTCACTGAGTGGAATTTCACAGCCCAGTGGCCAATTTCTAAGTCATGCACATTAATGGGCAGCTAATGAGGTGTCCAGGCAGGGACCTGGAGGGGCCCCTGGCTCCAGAGCCCAGATTAAGAAGTACAAAGCCAGCCGCTGGTGAGGCTCTTGATCTGTCATTGCCTCGAGCTGGATGTGGGGGTGGATGTGGGGGTGGATGTGGGGGGGATGTGGGGGGATGTCGGGGGGATGTCGGGGGGAGCCGGTCAGAGCTGTGCAGCTTTTCAGCCTTCATCTTGGGCTTGGTCTGTGCCCTCCAGCTGCCTGGGCTGCTGCCCGGACTCCACCTGCCACCCCCAGGTGCCACTCCTGAGGGGGCCGACCTCACTGCGTTCCTGAAAAACCTCTGCAAGGAAGAGGTGAGGTTTCAACGTCCAGTACAGCCAGAAAGGCCTTTCCTAGGTGTCTGATCCGGCTCTCTAACCTGGGGTGCCACAGACCTCGGAGGCCTTCTCCAGGACCCCTGGTTGAGCCTTCACGGGGACTCCCCTGCTCCCTTCGCTAAGGGCGCACAGCCTTGTCACCTTCCTCCCGGGAGCTCCTCCAGATGCCCCAGCTGCTGGAGCCTCGAGGACACTCCCCCTCCCTTTGGACCGTGGCTTTTTGTCTAGTCTTGGTATCTTCGCAGGTAGCCCTGTCCTCCAGAGTGGAGACCTCTTTCCCCCATGACTCGCTCTGAGTCAGCGTTTGTTGAATGACTGACAGAATGACTGAGAACACACTCAGGTGCCAGATACGGGGGGAGCCGGGTGCTCAGTAGCGCGCCCTAGAGCTCGTGGGTGTGACACGGCGTGGAAAAGCAGGGGTCTCTTCAGGGGCAGTGAAGGTAAGGATCTGCAGATGAGCCCATCCTGGCTGGGGTGGCCTGGGAGGATGGAGCCTGGAGCCCCCAGGAGCCGGACAAGACAGGAGGGGTCCCCCCCGCAGCCTTCAGAGGGAGCGTGGCCCTGCTGATAGCTGGCTTCAGGCTTCCAGCGCCCGAACTGTGAGAGAACGAAGCTCCGTTGGTTTTAGCCCCCCATTTCATTGCAGTTTGTCGGGACAGCCTCGGGGACTCCTCCATGGGGGAAGTCGAGACCTCTGCTTCTCTTTGGACGTCTGTCCATCCTGCCATCTGTCATGCACACAATCACTTCTTCACTTGGGACCCCAGGGCTGGGCTCTGCTGGTCGGGCAGGCTGTGGGTGGAAGCAGGTTTGGGGATGATAGACCCGGGCCTGAGTCCCAGGTCTGTCACTTGCCAGCGGTCCTTTGCTGAGCCCAAGGCCTGCCCTGCGTGGAGCACGATGGTGACATCTCCTTGGGATTCGACGTGCGGGCTCAGACACCTGGCACCAGCTGCGGGCCCAGGCTCCCAGCCCTGCTTAGCTGGTGGCAGCCCAAGTGCCACGCGAGATGTCTAGCTGGGCACTCCTGGGCCACCCGCCCAGACCCCTTTCCCTGTCCCTGCTAACCGGCTGGCCACCTGACAGCCCCGTGTTTACTGAGCATGCTCTGCGTGGAGCCTGCAAAGGTATAGTCAGTCTGCTGGTGACACGGGATTGAGACCGTTGGAAACCACACGGAGAACGCTTGGCACCGATCTTGTGTCTGCCAGGTGAGGACTGATCAGGCGAGGCCCTGGGGCCCTGGAGATGTTTAACTTAAAGCCACAGCCCTTGAGAGGCACTCCTGGGACCAGCTCCGTGGGCATCAATGGGGAACTGGTTAGAAATGCATATTCCCAGACCCAGTGAATCAGAAACGCTGGGTTGTGATACAGTCCTCCGTCGGTGTCATAACATGCCCTCAGGGGGACTTGAAGCTGGGTGGCAGGAACGAGCTGGTTAACATTGGAATTTGAGGTGTGACGTTTGTGGACCTGCGTTTTCCAGAATGTACAGTTTTCTGTGCTCTGTCTGCCATCTTCGCTGACAGGGTCTCATGTCGGAGACACAGTGTCTGCCCCGGACCACAGCGCCTGCTCCACCCCCCAGAGCCTGTGAGTCATGAGGGATCTTGGCTCCTCCTGAGGTACCGAGAATTAGACTGCCTTTAACGAGACTGCAGGTGATGCGTGTGCATGGTCGTTTCAGGGGTATCTCAAGGAAGCACCTGCTGGCTGCCCGGGGCCTTTGCACGCGCTTGAGTCCACAGCAGACTCTCAGCCCACTGCGAGCGGCAAGGTGGGCAGACACCCCTTCGCAGATGGGAAACTAGGCTCGGAGAGATCACACGCTCCTAGCAAGTGCAGACACTGAGCTCCAGGCTCTCCCTGGTCCCACTTCCTCAGACTGGGGGGCCTGGAGAGGGACCCTGTGCCCAGGTCAGTGGCGGAGACAGTGGGGGAGACGAGGTGCAGGCCTGCCCCTTGAGCGCACTGGGCCGCACTCCCTGTGACCCTCAGGCCACCAGAAAAGACCCGCCTCCTGGGAGGGGCCTTCACCCCAGTGAGGGAGGGGAGGGAGTCTTAAGACCCCTCCTCAGGCTGGGAGTCTCAGAAGCTGCAAGCTCTTGGGACAGATGGCTCTGACCTCTCGTCCTTGTGCCCGTAGGGGTGGGGATGTGACCCCAACACATGCTTTCTAAGGCTCCCTTAATTACTGATTGGTTTACCATCCCTTGGCAGAGCTAGAATCTTTCTTCTTCCATCCGCAGGGCCCAGGAAATGCAGCTGTACTGCCGGAGCAAGCCTGAGCTCTGTCCGTGATGGCTGAGGACCATGTGGCCTTGAAGTCTGGGTTTGGGGGTAAGAGTGAGGGGCTGGGGCGGGCAGGGAGGAGTGGAGGCTGGCAGAGCAGGGCGAGGGCTGGGGCTGCTCTTGGGCTTTGGTGGGAGGGCCCGAGTGATGATGAAGGCTGGGCAGTCGAGGGCAGGAGGGGTGAGGACCAAGGCCGTGGGGCCAGCCAGGGAACAGGTAACTTAACGGGGCAGCATGAGGTAGACCGTGGCATGGGGACATGGGGGCAGATGCATCGCTCTAACTGGTTTGGGGCGCAGGACGTGTCACCGCTGGGAGGGCAGTGTGAAGACTGCCTCTCTCCCCACCCCGCTGCTGCTTCTAGCCATGGAGGGAGCCACAGGCAGCCGCCCAGGCCTCCCGGAGAAGCCAGTTCCCACGGCCGCCAGCCCCACTCTGTCCTCGCTGGGCGCCGTCTTTATCCTCCTAAAGTCTGCGCTGGGGGCCGGCCTGCTCAACTTCCCCTGGGCCTTCTACAAGGCAGGCGGGGTGACCCCTGCCTTCCTGGTGGAGCTGGTAAGCCCCTGCAGGCATTTTGGGGGTTCTCCCGGGGAGTGAGCCAGCCGGGATCCTTGGCATGGCTTCTGGAGCGCTGGCCTAGAATCCGACACCTTTGAGGCTGGCCCTTCTCTCTGCTGCTTGGGGAGGGGATCATCCTGCCGCAGGCCCCGGGGGAGAAGGCCCCTAGTCTGCTGCGGGTGGGGAGGTGGAGGCCGTGGGAAGCCGGGTGCTCTCCGGCACCTGCAGCGAGTGGAGCCGCCAGGCGGCTGTAAGGCGCCATGTCTACAGCCTCACCTGGCGCGTCGGTGGCGCTCCCCTGCTGGGTGCAGCTCGGTAATGGAAGAGGGACCCCGCGTGCAGTCGGGTCACACGTAGGATGCTGTGAGCCCCTCACACCCGCATGCCGCCAGGCCCGGGCCGCTGCCGTGTAGCGGAGATCCAGCCCGAACTCCTTCCCCACAAAGCCGGGGGCTGAACGTCCGTCATGGAGAAGGGCTGCTAATAGCACAGCTTCATTTTATTTGCAAGGACAACCCCCCCACCCCGCCCTGAGCTGACAGCGAGCGCCGAGAGTCTCGTGGTAAGCTCTCCCACAGACGTTATCCCACGTGCTTCTTTACGGCAACCAGCTGATAACGGCCGCGGGGCCTCTGAAGTCCTTCTGGAAAGCGCTCAGTCCTGCCCCGTGTCGGGTAACCTGTGCCATCCCCGGCGCCGGCCGAGGGCCTGTCCTGCTGTGGGCTCCCTGCAGCCGTGCAGGCTCTGTCCCCTGGAAGCTCGTTCTAAGAGGGGACACAGAGCGATGCAGGAAGGGAAATAATACCGTGTGGGGCAGTGGTCTTGCTCGAAGGGTCATGTGACAGAGGGTGGGACGACGCAGCGCACAGTGGTCAGAAGGCCTCCGGGCGGAGGTGGTGGTAAGTGGAGCCCCAGCAGAGACGGGAGAGCACGTCCAGGTGCCTGTGAGGGGAAACCTGCTGTGTTCGGACGTGTGACGGCGAAAGACCACCTTCAGAATGATGAAGAGGGCTGACGTCCGGCCGTAGGGAGAAGAGTGAAGCGGGGCGTCAGGACGGTTGTGGCCAGTGCCCTGTGAGCAGGGCCGCGGGGTCCCCCTCATCACGCTCTGTGCCGTCTGCCGGGCGCCTCGCTGAGCTGGAGGTGTCGATTGGGCAGGTCTGGGGGGGCCGGAGGGTGTGCGTTTCGGAGGCGCTCCCAGGGGCCAGGGCTCCTGCTGGTGACTCGCACTTGGGGCGGGATGGTCTAAAGATGCCTGAGCAGACCGGAGTCCGAGACCTGAGGGGATGTCGAGCGCGAGTAAATGCAAAGTCCCAACAAGTAAGGAATGAGGCTGGTGGTCCCCCACGCCCACCTCCAGGCAGCAGCCTCCCCCACTTTTCCTGGCCAGTGAGCCGTCGTCTCCCCTCATGAGCGTTTGGACACCCCACGGCTAAGAGCTTATGGCGCGAGGTTCTAGGTCTCTAGATACGGGTCAGCCCTGGAGCTTTCATGAAATGTAACGAACCTGGACCCTCTTGGGGGCCTCAGGGAGGCAGGCCTGGGCGCAGGGTAAGGGCTCTGCTGTCCCGCCGTGTGGAGGCTCAGGTCACCGTTGCGGGGTGCCCTGTCCCACATGCAAGCAGTCCCTCGCTGCTTGGCAGAGAGGCGCTCACGGGCAGAGGCTCCGTCTGACCCCACCGACCCCCCCTTCCAAGTGCCGGCCACTTGCTGGGCGTGTTTCTGGGGCTAAACAATAGGCAGAACGGACAGTCCCCGCCCTCGTGGGGCTCAGAGTGTGGTGGGTAAAGAAGACTGAGGACCCCGGGAGACGTGGACACTCGTAAATATCTGTGTCCTCAGGCCGTTGGACCAACCACAGGACCATAAACGGGGCTTAAAACAAAAGAAATTCTTTCTCAGGGTCCCAGACACCAAAAGTCTAGATCCGGTGTGGGCAGGGCCATGCCCCGTCTTCCTGCCTCTTCCAGCAGTGGCGGCGGGGGTGAGGGGGAGAGGGGGCACGTCCCTCCAATCTCTGCCACACCGTCCTATGGCCTCCTTTCTCGGGAGTCCTGCTGCTTGTCCCGTGGCATGAACAGTGTCTGAAGACAGACACTCCAGCTTCCCTCCAGCTGTGTCTCCCAACTCCTGCATTGCTCTCCTTCCTGGGAACGTGGAAACCAGTCCCGCTTGGGGACAGGTAGCCTTAAACTGGAGCGAGCGGGGCCTGTGTGCCTCTCTGGGGGTGGGGGTGGGGATGGGCGGATGGGGACCCAGCAGCAGCACCGCGGTGGAGAACAGTTTGGCACATTTTTGCGGAGTTAGACCCACACGTCCTCTGGGATCCAGCAGCCCTCCTGGGTGTGTGTCCAGGAGAACGAAGGCTACATCCTCTAGGTGGCCTCTTTCCCAGTAGCCCAGGAGGGAGAACCACCCCGAAGCCTGTCCTCAGGGCCTGCATGGACCGATCGTGTTCTATGCAGGCGATGAAGTCGCACTCAGAAACAGGGGTGAGCTGCTGCTGCCCCCAGGAGGCTGGGGCATCTCGTGCTCGTCGCTCCAGCTGGCAGAAGCCAGGCTTCTGGGATGGGACAGAGCAGAACAGTATGGGAAGGGGCAGGAGAAAGCTCCAGGCTATGGTAGCATGTTCTGTCGGGATGGGCATGGGTGGCACACGTGCATTTTGTTGGATCTTGGCCAATGATACGTATTTGTGACCTGCAACCCATGGAATTTTACGAGAGGGATTTAGACTCTCGGGGTTTCCGGTGCCTCTTTTGCTCAACTGGGACTAGGAAGCATGAGACTTACATACTGCCAGAGAGGACACGGCTGTTCCTGCTCCGTAGCTCCGGTCTTAGGGCAGAGGAGGGCCTGGTGGCCCGTCGGGGAGAGGTCGCTGGGCGGCAGGTGGCCTCTGTGGGTGACAGGCCCTGTGGAGAGGGGCGTCTGAGTTCAAGGGACAGCGGGCTTGGGCAGGAAGCTGGGGATGCACCCGGGCCCCCTGGTCCCACCCCGCAGGTCTCCCTGGTCTTCCTCATCAGCGGGCTGATCATCCTGGGCTACGCTGCTTCCGTCAGCGGCCAGGCCACCTACCAGGGCGTGGTTGGAGACCTGTGTGGCCCCACCATTGGGAAGCTGTGTGAGGCCTGCTTCATTGTCAACCTGCTCATGATCTCCGTGGCCTTCCTCAGGGTGATTGGGGACCAGCTGGAGAAGCGTAAGTACTGGCATTGGAGTTGGGGGGGTTCCCCAGGGCTTCCAGTTGATGAGCGGGATGTAGGTGCTGGGCAGGGCCCTGGGGGGGCAGCAGTGGCCAAGGCCACCCCTAGGCTTGTCCCATCGTGGCAGAGGGAGACCCGGAGTAGTAGTTATGGGCACACTGCGGGTCACGGAGCGAGAGGGGCTGTGCTGGACGTTTGGCGGGGACAACCCCATGCATGGCGGGGGGAGCCGAGCCAGCTCCAGAGAAGCCCCTTTGAAGAGAGCGTCTGGTGTCACCCTGAATTCGGGGGCCTCCAAGACTGAGCCCAGACCCCTTTGGCGTGTCGTCCCCCATCGGCCATTTCCCTGCGAACACCGCAGGAGCTGTCCTCCGCCCCCCGAAGTACCGCTAGGTTCTCCTCATTGTCGTTCCACTTGGCACACTTGCTAACGTCCACTGTGGTTTTTTCCTTGACCCGTGAGAGGCTTGGACTCCTGTGGTTCAGTGTCCAGTTCCTCGGGAGTCTCCTGGACGCTCTCTTGGTTTCTGCCTTCGTGTGCCCTGTGGGAGAACACACTGCGCGTGGCTTCCGTCTTGAGTGTTGGAGGCTTGCGCTGGGTGCCCCGCGGTCCGTCTCGGTGGGCACCCCATGCGCTCCCGAGGGCCATGCCTTCTACTGTTGGGCCCTGTGTTCAGGGACACGCGGCTCAAGGTGGCCCACGGCTTTGGTCTAGTCCTCCGTAGCCTCACTGTTTGTTTGTTTTCCAAGTCTCGTCATTCTGTCAGTTCCTGGAAGAGGGCAGTTAAAGTCCGCTGTGATTGTAGGCTTGTCTGTTTGCCCTTTTAAAGATTTTATTTATTTAGAGAGAGCGTGAGTTGGGGGAGAGGCAGGGAGAGGAAAGAGAGACTCTCAAGCCTGGGTGGCGAGCTCCATCTCACAACCCTGAGACGTGACCTGAGCCGAAATCAGGAGTCAGACACGTACTGGACGGGGCCACCCATGCGCCCCATTTGCCTTTTTAATTCTGTCCATTCTTGCCTCCTGGTGTTGGAAGCTCCGTTACCAGGCTCACACCCATGAGCCATCCCTCTGTTACCACGAAATACCCCGCCCTTTTTTTTTTTTTAAAGGTTTTATTTATTTATTTGACAGAGATCACAAGTAGGCAGAGAGGCAGGCAGAGAGAGAGGAGGAAGCAGGCTCCCTGCTGAGCAGAGAGCCCAATGTGGGGCTCGATCCCAGGACCCTGAGATCATGACCTGAGCCAAAGGCAGAGGCTTTAACCCACTGAGCCACCCAGGCGCCCCAACGAAATACCCTTTTTCTGTGTCTGGTAATACTCTGCCATCACAGCGACCTTCTCCGACTGTAGCCACACCGGGCTCCTTACAATGAATGTTGGCCGGCCTCTTTCTCCTCCCAGCCCGTTCACGGGGAGCCTTCCTGGACCTTGGGAGGCCGATTGCGTGTCCTGCAGACACCGCGTGGTTGGGTCTTGCTTTTTTCTCATCTTGACGGTGGCCGACTTTATCTGGATTAGTGCTGAGGTTTTGTTAGTTGGACCCTAACCATTGATACGGTTGGATTTTGGGCTCTCACTTTGCCGTTCTGTTGGTACTGTTGCTGGAGCCGAAGAGGAGAAGGCCCCTGGTGCTGGGTTATGGAAATGCATGGGATCCATGTCTCGGGAGGTACTCAGCCTAGAGCACACGTCTGCTGGTAAATCAGAGCCTCCCGGTGGGTAAATGAGCACAAAAACGCCCTCCCTGTCGCAGCAGCTAGAGGCCCACGTGGTCTCACCTCTGGTTGTCTGGTGCGGAGCCGCGCTGAGGATTTGGAGGCTGAGGATTTGGAGGCCCGGGAGCGGGGCAGCTGGAGGGGTTAGCACACCGGTCAGGATACAGGCCACTGCGGCCCCGGGTAGATTGGCTGGGGTCGCGAGGGCATTGCTAGTGTGCTGGTGGTGAGGTGTCTGGGGCTGGGTCTCTCTGTGGGCAAGCCCAGGCTTCTTGGGAGGAGGGCTGACTAGAGCTTGGGGGTGCTTGGGTGTGGCTTTGTGTGCACTGGGTACAAATGATGTTAAGTGACAGGTGCTGAAAGTCCTCGAGGAATGTTCTAGAGAATGAAGGCTCAGGGACCCAGATGTCAGAGCTGGGTTCCTGGATGAGGCGTTCCAGGTGGTGGGTGGGACTTGCGCCCCTTCCCAGGCCACATGCCCTCTGGGTGGTGCATGGCCGTGGTGTCTGTGGCTTGGGATGCCTGCTTCGCTGTCCGGCCTTGGAGCCGGTGTGGCGCGACCTCAGGGCAGGACTCTGCCCTTGCCGTGGTTCAGTAGAAGCAAGCTGTTCTGAGGAGCCCTTCGTTTCTCTGCATGGCGGGCTTTACTGAGCATTTGGTGACACACAAAGGAGGGTGACAGTCCAGCAGAGAAAGCAGCCCCAAGTGGGCCACGGGACACCAGTGGTTGGTGGGCACTGGGGGTGGGGTAGGGTGGGGGGAGTCTGTCCCCTCGCTCTTAACTCGGAGTGGGCTCCCAGACACCTCGGCGCAGTAGTGTGGCCGATGGGATGTGGCCAGTTCCAGACCTAGCGTTTGAGGACGGGCAGTTTCCACTGGGTCTTGGGGAGCCCCTGGCTGCCCCAGTCTAGACCGCTGGAGGGTTCTTGTGGAGAGACCCTGCGGTTGCAGGGAGGCCCAGTGGAGCCCAGGTACTCCAGCAGGCCCCCAGTGTGGGCCCATCAGGGGTCCTCTAGCCCAGCCCTCCGCGCAGCCGGGTGCCCCCAGCTGGCCCACATGGAGCTGTCGGGGGCAGCTCAGCCTGCCCTAATTCTCCTCCAGTCCCTGGTGTGCAAGAAAGTGGTCACTTTGGGCCGCTTGGCTCGGTCTCCCAGTTCTGGGTCCAGAAGGCCATTCCAGGCCCCCACGCCACACACCCACTGGGCTTCTGCGCAAACCAAAACATGTTCGCAAGAACTCGAGGGCCGGTTGGCTTGAGGGCCGGCCATTTTGTCTTTGATTTGTTGCTGGATCCCAGCACTTAGGGCAGTGTTTGGCTGGCTTCCTTCCCGCGTGGTGGCACGGGATGGGGTCCCCATCCCCTCCCTTTAGGCTCGCAGGCCGACTTAGTGTCCGTGGCCACGCCCGCCCAGACCTGGAGCAGGGAGCCTCATGGCCGAAGCCACTGGTGGAGGGCGTGCAGCGCTCTTAGCGGGCCCTGTCCCCCTGCCCGCCAGTGTGCGGCTTCCTGCTGCCCAGTGCCCCGCCGGCCGTGCAGCCCTGGTACACCGAGCAGCGCTTCACCCTGCCCCTGCTCTCCGCACTCGTCATCCTGCCGCTGTCTGCCCCGCGGGAGATCGGGTTCCAGAAATACACGAGGTACGGGCCTGCAGACATTTCCTGGCGGGCAGGGGTCTGGGGGGGCTTCTTTCTGCCTGGGGTTAGGGGAGCTGGCAGCCTCGGTCCCGCCATTTGGACGAGAGAAAAGGGCTGGAAAAGTGCACAGGTAAAGTGTACGCGTGGTGGAAAACAGAAGAACGAGAACGCTGTCGCTGCGGACGTGACCTGCGGCCGAGCTCTTGTTCTTTGGTTAAGAACGGAGAGACCCCAGACACACTTCTGTTTCCATCTGACGCTCTGAGGCTTTATGTACACGCTTGAGAAGATAGAGTCCGGCAGAAGAGTTCGTCTGAGTGCACAGGCTGCCCTTGCCTGCTGTGCGTGACGATAGACGTGTCACTTTGGAACTAGAACCGAGAAGCAGCCGTCTTCCCCCGTCCCCATGGCACAGAGAGGAAAGCAAAGCTGATAGCAGCGAGGACTTGGCCCAGCACCTTGCTAGCGTGGGCAGAGCTGGCACTCGGCCCCCACTCCGTGCGGGAGCCCAGGCTCCAGCTGGCAGGGCTGGTGGGCCCAGCACCGAGGCCCCTGACGCCACGCCTCTATCAGCATCCTAGGCTCCCTGGCCGCCTGCTACCTGGCCCTGGTCATCATGGTGCAGTACTACCTCGGGCCCCCAGGCCTCGTCCATGAGCCCCGCCCTACAGCGAGGTGAGTTTGGGAGGTGGGGTGTAGCCTCATGGCTCCCAGGGGTGCTGCACCTGGATCCTTGGAAGAGGGACCCAGAGTCTCCGCAGCTCCCTGTGAAATCCTTCATGTCTCTGATGCAGCAGAGCCCTGCCAAGTCCCCTGCCCTCCTTCAGGATGGACTCTGGCCAAGTAAGGGCCAGGGATAGGTGGAGGGACATGCACACACTGAACGCCCCACCCACCTGGGGCCCCGGGGCTGTTGCAGACAGACATCCCCCACGGCATAGAGGTAGCAGAGCTGGCCAGCGAGGCTTGGGTTCCTGGCGGAGGGAACAGGAGTGTGTGCAGGCTGGCGTGGCCGGACTGGCCTTAGTAAGGCCGGGACTCGGCGGAGGGGTGTCCTTTGGGGCTGCCACGCTGTGGTGAGGACTTCGGTTTGGGCCAGGAAGCCCCCTGCAGGAGTTTGAGCACAGCAGGGCTTGAAGTCAGGTCTTGTGGCCGGGCCTGCGCTGTGGGGATGTGACCAGGACAGTCACCAGGGCCCTGTGCCTAGAAGGTCCCTGCACTTGGTTTCATAAGTTCTGCTCTTGCTGCCCTGAGAGCCTCCGATCGACAAGAGGCTAGCACGTGCAGTTTGCACCAGGCTTCACGAATTATGGGGCCCCTCCTGGCCCCTGGATTCGAAGTGGCACATCAGGAAGAGAAGAGGGCAGGACGCCTCTGAGCTTTGAGCTTGAGCTCTGGGAAGGGTGCTATTTCCTGGGCTGGAGAAGACAGGAGCAGGTGGCTGGGGGAGGAGGTCACGTGGGGACATGTTACGTTGGAGGCAGCTCTGAGACCGCTAATGAAGGCGTCAGGTGGCCAGTTGGACCCATGTGTATGGAGGTCGGAGAGAGGGGTCTGGACTGGAGAGGGAAACGTGGTTAGTGTTGGCCCAGAGGTGGCATTCAAGGCCACTGGGCTAGGTGAGACGTGCCCCTGAGCCGGTGGCGCTCAGTCCGGGACCAGGAGGTCAGAGGGCAGAGCCTGTGGAAGGGCAGCGAGAAGGCGAAGCAGGAGGTCGGGTTGGCCTCCTGGAGTGCTGGGCCGAGCAGGAATGCCCCTCGGAATCTCCAAGTCCAGAGGCCAGGTGCAGCCGGGCCTGCTCCCTCTAGCACCTCTGGGGGGCTCCTTCCTGCCCCTTGCAGTTTCTGGTGGCCCCAGCCATCCTTGGCCTCCCTTGGCACGTGGGCACCTCCCTCCCATCTCCGGCCCTGTCCTCGCAGGACCCTCTCCCCTTGTCTGTTTCCCCTTCTGGTAAGGACACCAGTCGGTGGATGAACCCCCTTGCTCCGGTGGGACCTCATCTAAGCTTAGCCAGTTACATGTACAAAACCCAACTCTAAATGAGTCTTTGTTGCGAGGTTCCCAGGGGATGTAAATCTGGGGAGATGTTATTCAACCCAGGATAGAGGAGGCTAGAAGGTGCACCTCAGAAGTCAGTGAACAAAATTTCAAGAAGGCCAGGGTGATTGCCGCCAGATCCTGCTGCTGGGTCACGTGGGACTGAGCCCTGCCATTGGATTTAGCCGTGGAGGCTGCTGGTGATGGGACGAGCTCCATCAGGGCGGGAGAAGGGGGTGAGGGCCCAGGGGGATTGGGTCCAGGGGAGAGGGAGAGAGGCAGGGAAGAATGTTCTTCTGAGGAGGGGAGGAGAGGAATGGGCAGGAGCTCCTGGGGGACCAAGGCCAGCAGGTGTTGCTTGTGCCTCTGTGTCCTACAAGGTGCCAGAAGCTGGCACCCAGAGCTTCTTCTCAAAGGAAGCTGGGGGGCCCCTGTCTGGGGACCCCTGAGAGGGCTGGGCCTGGAGGTGCTGCCTTGTGCACACCTCCGCTCTCGTAGGCAGCGTGGGTGGCGGTCCGGCTGTCCTTGCACCGCTGGATCCAGGGGTGCTGCCTGCGCCCCCGCCCCTAATCCTGGTGGGAGCAGGCGGCCTCAGCAGAAGTTGGGGATTCCTTCGAGCCCCGTCCTGCCCGAGTTCTGCGTGCACAGAGAATGGCAAGCGAGCAGACGTCAGTGCAGGTAGACCTAGAAAGTGTAGCATTGAACACGCCTCATTTTCCTGGTGATTAAGAATCTGTCTCCTAGGCTTTAGGTACGTTTTCCTGCGATCGTTGAAAACTCCTCCTCAAGTTGAGCCTGTTTCGAGTTGTGCTTTTTGTGGTGAACACCTGTCCGCGTCCCTTTGCAGGCCCTCCTCCTGGACCTCCGCGTTCAGTGTCTTCCCGACCATCTGCTTCGGATTCCAGGTAATGTCTGCGGGCGTGTGGAGGCATTGCCGGCGACGCCCTGCTCCCTCCCGAGAGTGTGGGCCTGTCAGGAAAGGTTAAGGCCTCGCCGGGGGACGAGACGGGCTGTCTCTCTGGGTGACCGTGCGTGTCGGTGGGCATCTGGGCTCAGGGAAGTATGCGTTGTCATTGAACTTGGGAACCTGGGCCCGCCAGCGCTAGCAGCACTTTTGTTGGGTGTGGGGTGGTGTGGGGATCCAGAATTTGTTCCATCCGCTGTAGAATTCTCACAGGACTGGCGCCGTGACTGGAGACCTAGAGCCGCCTGCTTCTAGAGCACACGTCATGCAGGGCGATCCTGCCCCGGAAGGCTTGCAGCGGGGAGGGCTGGACGGCACCCCGGTGGCCGCGGGGTGGGGTGCACGGGGCATAGACAGAATCTCGGACCCGGTGTCACGGAGGGAGGGTGGCTTGTGTGTGCGGAATCCGGCGGAGGGCCTTCAGAGGTAGCCCTGCGTGGGGCAGGTTCAGAGACCGCCTTTCCATGCAACAATGCCTGAAAGTGACCTTGAAGCACTGGGAGGCGGCCAGGTGAAGGGGAGGGCAGCTGGAGAGGTCGGCCCCATGAGCCCGGGAGAGCAGAGGGTCTCAGGCGAGGTGGGAGAGTGGCAGGGGGCGAGCCAGGCTCCCCACGCGGTGCTGGAGGGGTGTGGTGGAGGGCACGGCCCTGCTCCCTGCCTTCTGGTCCTTCTCGGGTCTTCCAGTCTCTCAGCGGGCGGCAGCGGACTCCGTTCATTGAGTGTTTATTTTAGGAAAGATGTGCCTCCCTCCTAAAAACAGCCCCTCCCTCCCCAGCGCCAACAAAGCCACCCCAGAGTAGAATCCTGCGCGCAAGGGCAGGGGGTCTGGCCGCTTCTCTCTCAGCCAGCTCCTGCTTCTCTCCTTCGTCTTGCCTTTTCTTTGAGAACCATGTTTGGGGGAAAAAAAAGTCCTGGAACATTTCCATTTATCTTCCTCATAAATCCGTCGATAGATCGCTTCTGGGGCTTAGCAAGCCGCTCTCAGGAATTTCTCACTTTTCTTCTTGCGCATCCAATATTTTGAAAGATGGAAGCGATGATTTTGCTGTCAGCGGTCTGTCTGGCTGTGGTTCGCATCCCTCCCTCCGGTGCCCGGGCACCATGTGGTGTGGCAGGCTCGCGCTGCGGGGGCGGCCTTCCAGATGCTTACACAGGGTGCCCCCCTCACCTTTGCCTCGGCTCCTCACCCAGTTCTCCTAGCAACCGGGGCCTGAGCTGTGGTTTCCAGGGACACGGGATGCAGCGATGGGGGGCTGGGAGAAGATGTGCGTTGCAGGGTCGGGGTGCGGGTGGGGCTGCCAGCATCTGGGCTTGGAGCTTCCGGGGACCTGGGGGGTAGGGGCAGAGCAGCTGGAGGTGGGGATGGTAGGAGGTAGGCTGAGGGGCAGCCAGGCGGAGGGGCGTGGCGGGAAGGGAGCTCTGACCTGGTCAGACAGCTCTCCTCCCCCCACACTGAGCAGTGGCGCTCCGCGTCCAGCCTGCACAGAGTCCGAGGGCCCGCGTAGGGGCAGTCGGGCTACAGCCTCTGCTCCCAGCCCCCTCGGAGTGCTCCGCTGGACGGATCGAGCACGGCTCGTGAATCCGTTCCTCGGGGGTGGACATGTGCCCCTTTCTGCTTCTCCGTGTCTGTGCTCCTCTGCCTGGCCTTCTGTCACCAGGAGAGCGGAGAGCCCGCCCTGGCCCAGCCCCATCCTACACACTGTCCCGGCCGCTGTCCTGGCTTAGCAGCTCTTCCCTCATGGGACGTGCTTCAGTTCCCTGCACGAGACCAGGCAGAACAGGGCCTGGGAGTCGGGGAACAACTGGAAGGAGGGCTGGGTGGCGTCCTGCCACCGCCAGGCATCTTGTCCTGACCGCTGTGCTCTGCTTCTCCTCTAGGCACAGAGCCTCTGAGACCCTCCCCACCCCTGGTGTGGCATCCTGTGCAGTCCCGCAGAGCCTGTGGGATTGCGGCTGCCGTGGGCTTGGGAGCAGGGACAGGGAGATGGAAGGCACGTTGGGGAGGCCCCCATCACGGGTACTGGGCCATCCTGGAAAGCGTGTGGGATGTCCCTCAGAAATGCCATAGGAGTGCAGGAGGTGGGAGCGTAGGTTTTCTGGGTTCCCCTGGTGGAGGTTCCCTGTGAGGAACCTCCTGAACCAGCTTGTGGCCAGCGGACTCCTGCGAGGTCAGGGAGCCTGGGGCAGAAAGCCCAAGATCACGTGTCCCGAGGCTGGTCTGGGGGGGAAGGTGTGCTTGAGCTCACGCTGGGCTGGGTGCTGTTATGGCAGCTGGAGTCTGGGGGCCCCAGGGTGCCCCCCTTGAACCCCCCCCCCCCGCCAATGTGTGCTCCAGCGGGGAGGGGATTGCGTCCGGCTGGTTTCTGTGCTTTCCCAGATTGGCACGAGGGGGACTGTTCCACATCGGAGTGCTGGCGGCTTCCTGGTTGCTGGTGGGTTATGGGGTGGGTAAATGAGTCACCCGCAGAGTGTTCCTGAGCTTTGTACCAGGCCCCATGTTTGGCCTGAGCCCAGAGGCGTAAGTGAGGCAGATGTGGTCCTTGTTTCCATGTAGCCAAAGATGCTGAACATGCAATCCCAAACGCACTCACGTGGGGGGCGGGGACACGGGGAGGATCTTGGTCCTGCTGGGGAGCGCTTTCTGGAAGGGTGGGTGAGAGCTGGCTGGACCAAGAGAGAATCCCAGGTAGAGGACCCAGCACAAACAAAGGCCCTGAGGCAGTGAGGAGGAATGGAGGTGAGCAGAGCCCAGTGGGTGAGGGAAGCATGGCTCCTCGGAGCCTGGAGAGTGGGCAGGAGGAGGGGATCAGCATGTTTGATTTTGATCACAAGCGAGTGAAGAGGCTGACGTATGGTGGGAACCCTGTCCTAGGAGCCTGTGACAGTCCTGGAGGGCCCAGGGGGGCATGGAGATAGAGCCGTGCCTCTCAACCCTGAATGCAAGTCCGGGCTTCCCGGGCTGCTCGTGAAATGCCACTGCCCAGGACCTGCCCCAACTAAACCAATTCCTTGATGTTGGCTACGGGTGGTTTGTGCTTAAGTCTTGTCGTGATGTCAGAGAGTCCCTGGGAAGTTTATCGGTCACGGGTATGTGTACTCCCACGTGAGCCTCAGCCCAGGCGGATCTAGAGCATCGCCGGTCCCCCTGAGAGCTCCCCCGTGACCTTCCCCACTCACTAGCACCCTCCACCCTCTCTTCTGCCCTTCGTCACCGAAAGTGGTGGTTCCCAGCTACAGCAGTTCTGTTCCCCAGAGCCCCTTTGGCAACGTCCAGAGACCTGATTGTCAGGACTGGGGTGTTCCTGGCATCCAGGGGGCTCGAGGCCAAGGACTCCGCCCAGCATCCTGCAGTGCACAGAACCGTCCTCAGATGTCGGTGGTGCTGCCATCGAGACCCCTTGCCCTGGCTTAGCTTGTAACTTTACGTCCATGGAAACACGTTTCCGCGTCTTGCGCAGCGTCCCGGCTGTGAGGCTCTCCTGTGCGCGGGCACACGGTTGTGTTCTTCCTTCTTCGGTGCTGCGTGATATTCCACGTGCGACTACGGATTTCCTCAGCCCTTCGACTGTCGGGAGTGTTTGGGTGGTTCTGTGTCCCGCCGGCCCCGCCCTCCTGAGCCCCGCCCCTGCCTTCCAGTGTCACGAGGCCGCGGTGTCCGTCTACTGCAGCATGCGCCACCACAGCCTTTCCCGCTGGGCCCTGGTCTCCGTGCTGTCCCTGCTGGCCTGCTGCCTCATCTACTCGCTCACAGGTAAGGCCCGCCGGGGCACCACGGAGCTGGGTAGGGGGCCGGAGACCCCGAATGGCATCTGCTTCTGGAGTCCTTGCCGTGCGCTCAGTGTGCTCTGCCAGGAGCAGGCCCTGCCGTGTGGGAGCCTCGGCCCATTTAGCCCGAACCCCTTAGGGAAGTCCCCGTTTCCTAGACGAGGGAACGGAGGCTCAGAGGGCTCCCGTGGCTTGTTCAGGATCCCCCAGCTAGACCTGCAGAGCTAAGAGCCAGACCCAGGGGCCGGCTGTCCCCAGAGGCCTTGCTCTTACACACTGCCCACTCCCCCATCCCCTGCTGGCGGACCGTGACGCTGGTTATCCTTGCCTCACAGCCAGGGAGAGCAGTGTACAAAACCCTCTTGTGTGATTTGGGTGCTCACAGACCTGGGCTGCAGGCAGAAGGGTCTCCAAAGGTGACAGAGTGTGGCTCAGGGAGGCCTCTGACATGCCCAGGGTCACGCGGCACACCCCAGGTCTCAGGCCCAGCCTGACTTCCGACCAGCCGCATTCCTCCAGCGCTGGGGCCCTTTCTTGCCTCTGGCTTTGGCACCCCTGACTCGGGAAGCCCGTGGGCTGCCACAGATGTCTCGGGCTCCTTGGAGCCTCATGGTCACCTGAGAAACTTGCTGGATGACCCCTCCCCGGCGGGGGTGGTCACTGTTAGTCTGTGTCCCCTGGGTCGGGGTCCCATGACCTGGGGATGGAGAGCCACCTCTAGGCCAGCAGATTTGTGGGACCTTCTGGAAAGGGCCCAGAGAGAAGCAAACACAGGCACAGCTCAGCCAGAAGGGACAGACTCGGGACAGGGCAGGTGACCAGGATGCCAAGGGGTGAGGATGGGAGAGGGGCATGGAACTGTGTGATTCCGGAATGGTTGACACCCTGGGTCAGAACGGGTGCAGAGGCAGGAGGGGGACGGACCGCTCATGAGGCGTCATTGGGGTTCTGAGTGCCGGCCGCCTCCGTGAGCGACCCTCACCGGCGCTGGACGCTGGGAAAAGGAGAAGCAACCGTCGGGCAGCAGGAGTTTTGACTGAGGAGCGCGGAGTTCTGTGTTGGCCGAGGACAGGAAAGCCTTGCGAAACCGCAGAACCCTTCTAGAACCTTCTGTCCGCTCCCAGGGAGCTCCTTCAGGGTGGTAGGAGCTGGACGCTGTCCGTGTGTCCGAGTGGAGCGGGGAGATGTGACGGGAAGAATATTTTCTGTGTCAAACGCACACACGAGGTTGTGTTGGTGTCAGGCGTGCAGCACAGTGGTTGGGTTCCTGTGTGAGGCCACACTCGCAGCAAGTGCGGCTGCCGGCCTTGCCTGGACGTGCTGGTGCAGCGCCGCTGACTGCGGGCCCCGTGCCGTGCCTTCCGTCCAGTCTCTGCCTCCGGCATGGTGTCTCCCCACTCAGCTCTCTGGGCTTCCACCCTCTCGGCCCCCCAGGGGTTTATGGCTTCCTGACCTTCGGGACGGACGTTTCTGCTGACATCTTGATGTCCTACCCTGGCAACGACGTCGTCATCATCGTGGCCCGGGCTCTCTTCGGGGTCTCCATCGTGACTGTCTATCCCATCGTGCTCTTCCTGGGGAGGTGAGGCCCGGCCCGCGGGGGCTCCGCTCAGGGCAGGGCGCTAACCTCTATCAGGGTTCAGGTCATGCCCAGCACCACGCGGGCTTGGGTGTTGGGGCAACTTCTGTAGAGACCATGGAGGCAGGGAGCTGGGGTCACAACCGGAGTTTGGCGCCCCAGCCCCCCCCCAAGACTGCACCCCGCCTGGTCCTTCTGTGGGGCGGCCTGCCGTGGACCGAGCCACGTGAGGGTTGGCGCAGTCCTTGGAGAACAGTGGCTGACGAGGAGCGGGGAGCCTGCTGGGTGTACAGGGCAGTCGGGAGGGGGTCCAGGGGGCCCCGTGGGGGGTGGGGCTGGAGCCCCTGCGCTGCTGTGGCCTCTAGGTCGGTGATGCAGGATTTCTGGAGGAGGAGCTGCTGCCTGGCAGGTGGGCTCGGGGCCCTGGCGGAGCCCTCAGGGCCGTGGGTCCGGGCGCTGCTGACCGTGCTGTGGGTGGCCGTGACGCTGGCCATGGCCCTGTTCCTGCCTGACCTCAGCGAGATCATCGGCATCATCGGGGGCATCAGTTCCTTCTTCATCTTCATCTTCCCAGGTGGGCCACCCGCTCTGCTCTGCACTGGAGCTCAGGGGCTGGGTGGTGGGGGGGAACCCCATAGAGGGAGGATGGCACCCAGCTCAGGTCACTGAGCCTGACATAGGCTGGGGACTGTATACACCTTGAATGGAACATCTCCGTGGCTGACGATGGACGCACCTGCTGGGAGTGCTGCTGTCATCCCATCCTGCTGGCAGGAAGACCGAGGCCTGGAGGCCTCCTGGGAGACACAGTCTGCGTCACCCTCGGCAATGCCCACTCTCCCCTTGCTGCCGCTCACTGTGGAGTTTCCTCTTAAATTTTAAAAAATGTTTGCAGTTACATGACGTCCACATGGTTCTAAGGTATCCTGCAAGCATCTTCTTACCTTGTCCCTGACCTGGGAGGCAAACACAGTTTCTTACAAAACCTTCCCAGTGTGAGCGCGTGAAGGTCCAGTCAAGGTGGCCAGAGGCTGATCCCAGCCTGGGAAGTCTGGGGAGGGCCCACCCGGAGAAACAGATGTGCCGGGCACCCGCTGGCCCTCAGGCAGGAACCCCAGATCCACGCAACTCTGGCTCTGGGAAGCACTTTCAGATGCGAGGGCCGTGGGCATGTGGCCGGCGCTGCGGGCCGCTGTGGGTCTGCTGGCCTCCCCGTGCTTACCAGGAGTCTGAGACATCTGGTGTGTTGGGCTTGGTGCCCTTGTCCTGGGGGGGCCTTTTCGCTCCAGCTGTTTCCCACTTTCTGGGAACGACCAGCCAGGACGGGTTCAGTGGGGGAGATGCCGTGGGAGCTGTAGGCAGAATGTCTGGCTTCAGATCCCAGGAGAATTCTTAGAAACAAAAATCTGCTGGGCAGCTGCCTGCGATGAAGGCGTCCCAGTGTCCGGCCTGGAGTCTGGCCCCGACGGGTCATCCCAGAGAGGCTGGCATGGAGGGCAGGCTGTCCTTGCTGTCTGAAAGAGAGGCTCAGAGCAGCCAAGGTGTGAGGGGGACGCTGAGCCGGGCCCCCAGGACCAGGCCCTCCGCCAGCTCGCTGTGCCAGGAACAGAGGGAGCCCGGGGGGCCACGCTGGGCACAGGCCTCGCTGGCGTCCCGGGTCCCAGAGGATGGCTGGGTGCCGGCCGAGCTCTCGAGCTCAGGGCTGCTCTGGGCCTGGGCGTGTGGAGCTGCAGTGGCCCGTGTCTCCTTGGCAGGCCTGTGCCTCATTTGTGCTGTTGGCGTCGAGCCCGTGACTCCACGTGTCAAGTAAGTGTCCCCAAACAAGGGTGGCAGTGTGGGCACTTGAGGGCTCTGAGAGCAGAACGGGAACGTGGCAGGGACTCCGGCGGGCCCATTGTCCTGCATAGGGGCCAACCGCCGGCCCCGGGACTCGACTTCACCACACAGTGAGGAGGTGTCCGTGCCAGGAGCCGGCCCCCGGCCCCCACACCAGCAGTCTAGGCACAGCCCTCCTTCCCACTCAGAGGGATCGTGCACACGGGGAGCTGTAGGTGGGCGGAGGGGTCCCTAGCTGAGCCTGCTTCCTGCTCCTGCACTCAGACCCCCGGCAGCGTGGGGCCTGGGCCGGTCCTGCTGCCCGGAGCCCTGCCTTCCGCAGGCCGTGTGGGCAGGAGGGTACACGTTCCCTCAGCAAGGCAGCAGCCCTGTCTGGACACCTCCTCAGTGCCAGGCCCTCGCCCAGCTCCTTAGGATACCAGGTTGTCCATCCTACAGACAAGGGTGCACGGCGCGTCCGGTCAGAGCTGAGACTACCGCTGGGCCCGCCTGGTCTGGGTCTCACATGTGCCTCCTCCCTGCTCGCTGCGGCGGGGTAGACAGGAGAACTGGGGATGTCCCTTGTTCCAGCAGGAAGTCCTCCTTCTCCTGTGTGGCCTGTGATAGGACTGGAACCGTGTCCTCGCCTCTGAGGGGCCCAGGCTGTCCCCACCGAGAGAGAGGCCGCGTGCCGCTGATGGAGCACAGCTTAGCCAGAGCCCGTGTGGCTCTTAGTCCCACCCACGGGCAGGGAGACGGGCCGAGGCTTGCCGAGAGACGCTGTGTTAGGTTTGCTGGGGCACTCACCGCAACAGAAACCTGTTCTCGCCCCGCTCGGGAGGCCCGAAGTCCTCAGTCACGCTGCAAGCAGCACCAGGCTCCCTCTGAAAGTTCTAGAAGCCTGTTCTGTCCCTCCGCGTCTCCTGCCGTCACCCGGTGGCTCCAGGTGTCCCTGGCTTGCGGCTGCATCACCCCAGTCTCGGCCTCCAGCCTCGCACGGCCTCTCCGTGTGTCTCTGCCTCAGATCTCTTGTGTCTCTCCCTCATATGGACGCCTGTCACTGGGTTGAGGGCCCAGCCCCGTCCCAGGGGATCTCCTCTCCAGGTTTTTAACTTCATCACGTCTGCAAAGACCCTATTTCCAGGTTTGGGGTGGACATGAATTCTGGGGACCACGCTTCAGCCTTGGTCCCACCTGCCGGCCGGCATCTCTGTCTCGCCTCGCCTCCGGCCCCTCAAGCCCGGGCTTGGTTTCCCCCCGCAGCCGGCTGGCTTCGTCCCCTTCCAGCTGGAGAAGAGCTTTTCTGGATGTCTCTGAGCCTGACTTGGGCTGGGGGCTGGCCTGATTGGGGCCCCTCAGTGGTCTTTGAGGTCTTGCTGCTTCTGTTTCGTGCCTTGGTCCCAGCTCACAACGGTTTTGACTGGGGAGCTTTGAAGCTACTTTGAATCCTGGCGCTGCTGCGGGGCCTTCTGATCCCTCCAAGCTGCTCGACGAGCCCCGGGCTCCGGGCACGTCGACCACGCTCTCCGCTTCCGACGCGGGGGCGTTCGTGGCTGCTCCGCTGGACAGTCTTTCCGTGCCAGCGGCTCCTGGGGCCTTTGTTGATGGGGCCAGAAACGTCTCTGGCAGCCCTCCTATTCCTGGGAATCCTGGCTCCTTGTCGATGCAGTGTTGGCTGGTACATGATGAAGCTCGCAGACGTGTCCTCAGGGGTCACTGGGGCCGACCACCCCTGCCTCTTGCGCCCTCGTGCCCCACCCACTGTCCCCATCGCGGGTGACTTTGGGGTGGCTTCTCCTTCATTTCCGGGGGTCTTCATCCCCCCTTTCCTTGCTCCCAAAGGGAAAGGAGTGGAAAGGGATCTCCCTCCCCCATTTCGTTGGCTTTGATAAAACGCTAGGGAGGAATGGAGTCATCAGTTAACAGTTGCAGTGTGAGGTTTTAATTGCCTGGGGCCATTATCCCCCGTTGCTTTGGAAACCCACTCCGGCAGGTGAGGGAGAATACTGTGGAGTCCGCCCGCGCCCACCCCGCACTGGTGACTGGGCGGGCTTCCTGTGGTGAGCTTTCTGCCGAGTGCTCGGCCTGTCTGTGCAGAGGTCCAGGGAAGAGCGCGTTGACGTGTGTGTGTACTGACCTGGCAGGTGCTGCTTGGAGGTGTGGGGAGTGGTCTCCGTGCTCGTGGGCACCTTCATCTTCGGGCAGAGCACGGTGGCTGCGGCCTTGGAACTCTTCTGAGCGGGAGGGCTCGGCCCGGCCTCCACGCGGCACTGGTGCGGCACCCCTGTCCTTCCATCATAAAGATGCTGCAGAAACGGATGCGTCCTGTCTTCTGAGGGTGCTCATTTGGGCTTCTGTGGGTTCGGAGGGTTTCGGGTGCGGTGCCGAGGAGGGTGTATTGATGTCCTGGGACTCCCCTTACAGAAGGCCACGTGCTGGGGGCCTCAGACAGCAGCCATCCATCCCCGCAGTCCCGGGGGCTGGGGTCTGGGATCGAGGCTTGGGCAAGGCCGTGCTCCCCCTGAGGGCTCTCGGCGAACCCTCCCGCCTCCAGCCTCCTCTAGCCGCTGCTGTTGCTGGCCATCCTGGGCATGTCTTGGACTGTAGGTACACCCCGTTCGCCTCGGCTCCTCGCCCCGGACATGGTGTCCGCCCTGCGTGTCTGTCCAGAGTTCCCTCCTCTGACGAGGACACCAGTCACTGGCTCTGAACCACCCTAGTGCAGGGTGACCTCCCCTTAACTTAGGGGCTGCAAAGAAGTCACGGTCACAAGTCCCCAGAGTCGGGACTTCCACTCACCATCTCCAGGGGATACAGTTCAGACCAGAAGTTGGGGCTGAGGCCCAGGGACCTCAGCTTTGGCCCCCACTCTGATGGGAGGACCCCGAGGAGAGCCCCCTTTCCCTTCCGGCTGGACCTGAAGAGCCTGGGAGCCCAGTGGACTGTTGGCTCCATCCTTCCTTCCCAACCCCAGCCAGTCCTGGGGTCAGGGTTACACCTGCAGCTGGGGACAAGGGGCCCTGGGGGTCGGCCCTGGGCCCAAGGTAGGGGAGAGGGTGGGTAGGGAGGCAGCCAGGGGCCCAGCTGCTCCTGTCACTGTGCTCATTGGCACTGACCCTGCATGGGACCTGGGGTGTCTGGGCTCTCACTGGATCTGGGCCACTTTTCCTCTGCCTTGGGACGTTGGCCGGAAGCAGCGGTGCTGGAGCCGGGAGATGGTGGTGGTGAGTAATGTGTTCCTGCCCGTGTGGCTAGTGGGGATACAACTGGATTTTTTTTTTTTTTTTTCCATACCGCCTACTTGCATTCACTTTTTTGCGGTAGAACTCGCACACCATAAGGTTCAGCCTCGTGGAGTGTACTGTTCAGTGGAAGCTGGTGCCTGGGGTCGTACCACTGTTGCCAGTGTCGAATTCCGGTGTATCTCATCCCCCCCAGAGAAACCTGTGCCACCAGCAGTCCCTGCCTGGCCCTGGGGAGCATGAGGCTGCCATCTCCGTGGACCTGCTGCTTCCGGACACTCTGTGAGCGGCCTTCGTGTCTGGCTCTTTTGACTTCAGTTGTGTTTTCAAATTCGTCCATTTTACAGGTGAGGCACTGAGGCTCGGCAGAGTCTCTGCTCCCCTCTGCCCTCCTCTGCCCTGGCCGTGGGTGTAGCCTCTGACCCAGTGAGGGGGGCCAGCTCCACACCCTGCCATACCCTCTGTCCGGTGGCCGCAGCGCCCCCCCCCGCCCCCCACCCCAGATGAGGGCCTCAGAGCCAGGCCGTGGGCTGCGGCAAAGCTGCCCCCCGCAGGCACCAGCCAGTGGAGTCCTTGATCCTCTGTCGCACGTGCTTCTAGAAATGCTGCGGCCAGGCTCAAGCCCTCCAGGGTTCATGGAGTCCCCAGGAAGGACAGAGTGTGGTAGGGAAAGGGCAGGGCCATCGAAGGGGGCACCGTGAGGCTTTGCTTTGGGCTCGGAATGTTGCTTTTGAACACTGGCTCCTGCCGTTTTCTCACTCAGATCTGGGGAGTTTATGAACCGCCTGGGGAGTCTGATTCCCCAGTGGCCACATTGAGCAGCCCGGTGGGCTCCCCGTGAGATTCAGAGGTGATGGTGCGTCTACAGCGGCGGTAGGGGGCCTGAGCCACGGTCGCTTTATTTCCAGAAAACCTAGGTTGAGAGGAGGTGAACACAGAGCTTCCTGGCAGCCGAGAAGAAAGGGAAGTAGGGTGCTAGGGCCCACCCGAAGCAGGACGGCACGTCGGGGGGCAGCAGACTGGTACTCCATGCTGGGGGAGAGGCGAGTGGGAGAGGGTGGGACCCTTGAAGGGTGCTGCCCACCCAACAGGGGACAGTCCTTTTCAGCCTGATCTTGGTCAGGAATAGGACGTGCTCTCGTAGGACGGCGCGTCGGCTCAGCCGTCGGCATTCCAGGATGCCCGGCAGAGAACTGCTGGCCGGGGTGTTCCCCTCTGATGTCTCCCCGGTGGAGGGGTGAGCTGCCTCGGGGTGGTCCTTCTCCACCTGAGGCCCCCTCGGGTTTTGCCAGCAGCCAGCAGGAAGGGCAGAAGCCGTGTCCTCAAGGTCATGGTGGCATCGCGTAGGGCTTTGGGTGGGCTCTGGGTGGGAAAGATCTGAGCCCGTCCTGCCTGCTGTCGAGCAGCGGTGGCAGCCTTGGCTAGCCCATGGCCTCAGGTCGCCATCCCAGGCAAACATCGGCTGTGCCGTTGTCAGCCGCGGTGTCCTTTCTCTGTAGGTCAGCAGCCACCGCCTCTCTTCTCCCTTGTGGTCCGCAGTTTGCGTCCTTGCTGTCCTCTAAAACCAAGCTAAGGACGGCCCCTCTCCCACCCCAGGTTACTGGGGAGTGTGCGCCGAGACCTCCCCGTAACGCCGTCGGCACAGAGGCTGGCCTGTCACGGGCCACGGTGACCGCTGTGCATGAGGGTAGACACACGTCTCAAATAATCCTGCAGACGTGGCCAAGGGAGGTTTTGTGTCCCAGGTGATGAGTTCTGCTCCGGGTGGCGTGGGCGGCAGGGGGCTCTGGGAGCGGTGTTTCCCCGGCTCAGGTGCGCCCCCATAGCTGGGCAAGGACACCAGCCCCAGGTGCTACCAGGGCCTGAGCAGCTCCCCACCTTCCACACAGGCTGGCCTCCACACACCCCCCCCACGGGAGGCTCGGGTGTGGAACTGGACACGGTGAGAACGTGGATCGGTCACTGAACGCAGGTGGGGGGACCTTCTCGATGTGGACACGTGAGCTGATGGGGGTTTGGGGAGGGGTGGCGGGGAGGTCAGCTTGATGTCACACCGAAGGAACCTACGGTGTACGATTCAGTTACTGCAGTGATGGGTAGACACCTCCTCCTGGTTCCCAAACACTCCTGTCACCCCAGCAGGAAACCCCGTCACTCCCTCCTGCCTCGGACCCCAGCCCGGAAACCCCTAATCTCCTCTCTGTGCCTATAGACGACACTATTCTAGACACAGTTCCGCGTGAATGGGATCACACGCTAGATCCCTCCGTGGCTGGTCCCGTGCATGTGGCTTTGTGTTTTCCCGGGTTATTTGTGATGTGCAGGGGTCCATACTGTGTTCCTTTCTGTGGCTGAATGAGACTCCCTGGTGTGGCCGGAGCCCATGTGGTCTGTCCACCCGCTGACGGCCTTCGGAGCTCACATGTATCTCCTTAGTCGTCTGGGGGCGTGGGGTAGACCTAGGAATGGGCTGGCCAGCTCCTAGAGTAACCGTCTTTGACTGAGGAACCTGATCGACGTCTTAATGACCCAGCCTAGAGCTGTTCCCATGTGTCTGTGCTGAGTGGCACAGGGGCTTGGGCACTGGGCTGGGGACAGGTAGCTCTGGGTTGGGATGTAAGTGGTGCCCTTAGCTTGCTGTGTGACCTCTGGTGAGTTGCTTGCCCTCTGTTTACATGCCCCCCGCCGGGAGCTCTGCCGATCCCAGGATGGCACAGGCGGCATTGAGGGAGATGGTTTCTGCGTGCCTGGCCGTGAAGTGTAAATTCAGTGGGCGCTCTGGTACCTTTCAGGGTTGAAATCTGCTCTCCCCGGAGCCTGTTCCCACCTACTCAGAATCCACTGAGGCTCCGCGAGCTCAAGCTGCCGTCAGCAGAGATGCTACAGTCTGGGCACTGTGCTCGGGCCAGCGGGCAGGACGTGTGGCAGAAGTGTAACACGCCCAGCTCGTGGGGTTCCTCAGCTGTACCCCAAGGAGCCTCAGCCCCGAGAATCTTTGTAAAACCGCGGAGCTGATGGGAGCAGCACTGGCTTTGGGGGTGCTTGTGGATGCTGTGGGCAGGACCCCGTTACATGCCACTCTCAGGAGTAGCAGTTCTGATCCTCAAGGAAGGGTCTTCCCCCACTTCACAGATGAGAAAACGGGGGCTCAGGGAGGCTGGCTGCAGGGACGTGCTGCTGGGAGGTACGTAGCTGGGGTCGGAACTTGCCTTTTACGTTTCCCGCAAGCCCACCTTGTGGGTCACTGGGTGTGCCTTAAGGGCCAGCATCCACCCCTGTCAGGAGGTGGCAGGACCCAAGGGGGGAGGGAGCAGGGGCCTTCCAGCTCTCAGCAGCCCCACGTGGCAGTGACAACTGTCCTCTCGTCCCCATGTCCCAGGCTGGCCGCTCCGGGCGCCTCCGTGGCCCCAGAACTCCCACCAGGCCCCACCGACGCACTGTTGCCCTGGCTGAGGACCTCTCTCTTTCCTGGTCCCTTGGGATTCCTGTGTCTGACCTGTCTGCTCCCAGGACAGGGAAACGGAGTGGGGACGTTAAAGAGGTTCCAGAACAGGACTTGAAATAATGGAAGTCTCGAGTCTCGTTGGAATAGCTCTCTTACAGGTGTGCAGCGAAGGGTCCACGTGCCCTCGGACTTCGGCTGCTGGGAGGGGAGCTCTAGCACGTCCTGATCCCAAACCTTTGTTTCCTTGGCGGCCTCTGACCTGGAGGCTAAGTCAGCACGGGGCAGGGCTGGGCCCCCATCGCCCAGGCTCTGGAGAGCAGGACTGTGCCCTTGTGTCGTGCCGGAACCCGCAGCGGAGCGACCTGGCTCCGCGGAGTTCCGCCAGTCCGTGTCGTGAACCCCCGGGCCCGAGGCCTCCCAGGACTTGGGCGCGGGCGCGGCCTCGTCCGTCAGACGCACCGCAGGCCCATCAGCTCCGTGTCCCAGGTAAGGAAACAGACTTTGGGGTGATGGGGTCAAGGTTTCACGGCTCGTAAGGGGCCCCACGCACCGTGACTACTTTGTGCATCCCGCGGCCGTCCGCTAGAAAATTCGAAAGAAAACCAGCACGCCGCCGTTCCCAACCCGCGTTTATTGGTGCCGGACTGCCACGCGGGCACTGGCTACAGGGGCGCTCCGGTCGGACGCGGCGGGGCCCGGGCCGAGTGGGGCACTACAGGGGCGCGGCTCCTACCTGGCAGGGTGTCCTCCAGGCCCATGAGGCTGGGGGTGGGGGGGGTCATGCGTGGCCACTGGGCTGGGGGATGTGCTGGTCCCAGGACGCCTGCCTGTGGCTGCTGTTGCCCAGCCAGGGCAGCCGCTAAGGGAGGGCGGGGGTTTGGGGACGGGGCTGCTCCTTCGCGGCAAACAGGGAGAATACATTCTTGTCTTCAGTACAGTGAGAAGACAACTTGTGTACCAGAGTTTCTAGAAAAGAGTGGGCAGGCGGATCCAAAGGCCTCAGGGACGTGGTCAGTCGCGGCCCACAGTACACCAAGCAGCTGTGAGGCGGGACAGAGACAAGGAGCAGAGCAGGCGGTTGGCAAGGGCAGCCCCTTCGTCCTGTCCCGGAGGCCCGGGAAGCACCTCCCCGCCTCCAGGCCCTGCCCCTGCTACAGCGCCCTCTGGGCTCAAGAGGCTGCAGGGTTCTTTCCGTCTCGGGCCGGTCCCCTCTCGGGGACTAGCCTAACTCTCACACCCTTGGGCTCCGGCTTCTAGGACCCGCTGCACACCCCCTTCCATCTACCTGGCACCAGGATCCTGGAGAGGGCCTCAGGCTGACTCAGCGTGTCCACCTTGACGTGCCGGAACGCCTTGCACACGGGGCTCTGCAGGTGCCTGCAGGATGAGGACAGGGGGTGCGCTGGGGGCTGGGGGAGCCTCCAGCCTGGGAGTGGGGGGTGCAGATCTCTAATCCTGGCTCTGCGGGGTTGGGGGGCTTTCCTATTGAGGGCCTCAGCCACAATAGGTGTTTAAAGAAACAAGGCCCAGCCTCAGGGCCACTGCATGCTATGGCCTTGGAGCAGAGAGGGGCAGTCTGGGCTCCCGCCTCCCTCGGGGTGTCCTTAACCAGCTGAGCCACCCAGGTTCCCACTGGGTGTTCTTAATCCGAGAACTTGCTGGGGTTTGAGTCCCTGGAGTCACAGTTCTCAGACGGCAACAGACTTCGCCTCGGCTTCCAGGCTGGCCAGGGACCTGGGTTCGGAGCCCAGCTGGTTAGGGCAGTTAGGGCCCCAGTCGGCCCAAAAGCCAGAACCCTGTGGGCCGATGCCACATGGACGGGTGCTCATCAAGACCCTGCCCTCCCCTCCAGGGGTGCTGAGGTGGGGGACTGCCTGGGCTCGAGGCCTGCTCACCTCCTCCACTCCTCCTCCGTCTCCCAGAACTCGTAGACCACGAAGGTGAAGCCGTCAGCCAGCCTCACGGCTGCAATGCTAAAAGAGAAGCACCAGTTAGGGGGCTATCCGACTGTCCCCCTCAAGGCAGGCCCCCCCCACTCCGCCGGAGACTGGCAGGAGGTGGGAGGGCCCCCAGCACCTGCTCTCCTGTTTGGTTCCGGGGTGTCCCTCCGCCCCCACCACAGGGCCCAGCCCTTCAGAAGCCAAGGATACTCACCAAATGAATTACAAAACAATGATACTTTAAAAGGGTTTCTATTCATTTAAAAACCTTACCTTTAAAAATAAAAGCATCTTTCTCTGGCCACGCTCTCCTCTAGAATGGTTTCACTTAATCCTTAAAACACTCTTGTGAGTTGGAAAGGGCCCAACAGTGGCTGGGGGAAGGCCTGCGTGGGGTCCGGGGCCTGCCAGGCCCCATTCCTCCCCTTCAGTAGGGCTGATTGTACCTGGGGCCAGGGGCAGAGGCAGGGGGCTGCCTACCCGAGTGTGGCTGACCCCCCGGCGGGGAGGGGGCGAGGTGCTCAGATTCTGCCCTCTCCAGCCCCATCCTGATCTGGCCCCCCTCCCAGCTGCTCTCTGGCCTGCCGCTTTCTCCCAGCTCCGCAGAACAGAACCCCAAGCATCCCCTAGGAGGAGAGTTCTCTGCCAGGGGTGGCATTCCCTGTGCAGTTCCCAGCAATCCCAGCCCTAACTGCACCGGATAGAAGCAGGGAAAGAGGCTGCTCCCCGGTGGGCACGAGACCAGGCATGTGAGAGCCCGGGGGCCCGGGCCGCAGCCCTCACACAGTGCCACCAGCAAAGCCAAGGCTGCAGCAGGGAGCAGAGGGTGAGGCCCCAGGGGGTGGCCACGCACTCGGAGGGAATACAGGCTGCCCCGGCCACTGGCCCAGTAAGCCCCGCACATCCCCTCCTCTACCGTCCCCTCCAGCAACCCCAGGGACAACGACGAAGTGGAAGCCTAGGAGCCGGAGTCCCGGCCACTCTATGCATTGGGGCAAAGCCGGAAGCCCAGGGGCCTCCCTGGGGCACGGTCTGACCTCGGGGGAGCCCAGCCCTCCAGCCCCAGCCCCACTCACTGGAAGCAGCTCCCGGCCCCAGCAGTGCCGCGGAGGTACTGGCGCAGGGAGTCCACGAACTCGCTCAGCTGTTCGGGGCACACGGCCATCTCCTGCCGGACCAGCTGCAGGTGCTGGGGGCCACGGAGAGGGGTGAGGGTGGGTGCCCGCGGGCCGGCTGCGCCCCTCGGCCCCTCTGTCCTCCTGGGACCCCTCCTGCCCCCGGGGCACAGCCCAAGACCTGGCCTCCCCAGACCCTCCCGCAGAGAGCTCAGATAACTCGGCCAACGTAAAACCAGAGAAACCTCACAGGAACACACGCGCCCTTCGCGCTTACACGGGAAAACGGGCTAACGGGAGCGAGGACTGAAGGGCCCCAAGCTGACAGCAGCCCCGCCAACGCGGGATGCCTGAGAAGGGTGTTCACAGAGGCTCTAGGGACGTTAGGAGCCGCCTGCAAGGCACTCTGGTCCGAGAGCAACATCCCCAGGCCCAGCACAATTCGTGCCTGCTTCAGTGTTTCTGTCACTGTGATTGTCACTTTGCTCTGAGCCAAACTGTTTCTGAACAAAAAAACACCTCTGGGAGGGCTGGGTGACCAGGAGCTGGGGCCGCATCTCCCCTGGTGGTGGTGCCGGGGCGGGGGTGTCAAGGACACGGAGCTGCCAGCTTCAAGGCCGGGCTTCAGCAGGGATGGGGCCGCAGGAGGGTGCGGGATGGGACCAGGCCTCACCATGTTGGTGCCTTCTTCATCCGAGAGGCGCTGCTGAAGATCAAACCAAAGGGTCTGAAACCAAAACATACAAAGATGTGTTGGAGACAAAGGCCACCTCCCCTAAGGAGGCCTCCAGGACTACCACATTGAGTGCCATCCAAGAGCTCCAGCTTCCCCACCCCATGGTTCCAGGGGCTCTGGAGTCCCCAGGCAGCTAGATGGAGCTCGGTCCATACACAGTGCTGGCTCTGAGGGGAGCTGGGAAGCCAGGCTGGGCGACAGACTGCACAGCGGCCGAGAGCCCTTCTGGCCTTGGCACGTGGGAGCACTGGGAGGCACAGAGCGCAACCAGATCTACCCAGGGGGCATTCTGCCAGCAGGGGAGGGTCCTCTGGGGACATGCAGCCATGGGGGCTTGAGACTCAATCCAAGATGCTGGGTTTTTGCCACAGCTGCTGGCAAAGCCCTGAGGTTCCCCATCAACATACCAATCACCCTGAGTCCTAACCCCCGACGCCTCGTGAATCTAACGCTCTCCACGGGCTGGTCTATCACCCTGGCCTCCCGCAGGCCTTGAACTAGATGCTTTACAAACCCATCTTGCTGAACCGTCGTGACCGTCTGAGGAAGACACCGCCCCCGCCCCCCAGGAGCCCCAAGAAAGCAGGAACCGCGTGCACACGGCTCACGACGCGGTGCGGGGGTCTAGAACACAGAACCCAAAGCATGCTCCTGCTGTTTCAGAGCCCAGAACCCTGGCTCCGAAGGCCACGAAACTTGTGACTGGTGGAGACGGTTCGAAGCCAGGGTCTCTCACCTCCCGACCCACAGACTCCTGATTCCTCTCCAACTTGCGCACCCCACTAAGGCCATCTCTGCGCCTGCTCTTGTCCATCCTCCACGGGACGGCCCGTGTCTCCCGCAGTGTCACAGACACGGGGTCCTTCCTCTTGTGTGGAGGACACACAACTGTGAGACATATCAGCTACTCAGGAGAACAGCCAGTGGTAGTCGGGCCTGTGATCTGTGCGGTCACCACCTCCGAAATTCTCCAGGATGTCCCCTTAGGCCTGTGCCCCAAATGGCCTCATTTCTGCAGCCCGTCCTGCAGAAGGTGCGGACTTCTCAGAAACGCGGGGCTGCAAGGAGCTTTACAGGTGCCCAAGGTGTGCCTGGCCCCTCACCTTACAACGCCAAGGCGGGCTCCTGGAGGCGGGGGTGCGGAGGCACCACGTCTGCCCCTCCCCCTCCAGCACCCCATCCGTCCCACCCAGGCACAGCGGCCAGGCGCAGGCGGGCACGCAGAGGGCGGGGCCCCCTGCCGACCCCAGATTGGCTCCTGCTGGCGGCCTGGACCAATCAGGGGCCGGCAGGAGGGGCCCCGCCCCGTCTCCAGGACACCCAGGTGCTCCGAGGTCTCCAGCCAGCTGGTTGTTAAGGCGACCGGGCGGGCGCTAAAAATAAGCTTCAAACCACCTCCCTCCGGAGGCGCCGCCGAGTTGTTATGGCAACCGGGCCTCAGGGTCCTGCCGAGCCGTTCCCACCGCGCCCACTCGGCAGGCTTTCCCGGGAGGGGGATCCCACCTCGGCCTCCGCCCTGCAGGTGGACCGCCGCCTCCGCCCTCAGGCTCCCCTCCGGCGGGTCTGGCCTCGGCCTCCCCCTGCGCGGGGAGCTCTGCCCCCGCGGGTCCCTCCTCACCCCAAAACCCAGCAAAGTACTTTTTTGCCCTTTTGCCAAAGATGTGAAAAATCCAGAGACTTAGGAGACACGTACAATGGCTGTAACCGCTGAGCTCGCGGGGAGCGGCTACCTGGGGTCCCCCAAGCAGACACGTGCGTCCGGGTTTTGGTGTCAGAACATCCAGTAACGACGGCCAACAACCGCTCAGAGTAGATGCTCACCGCACGGCAGGCTCCAGGGGAGGCGCTCCGGAGGAGGCGTTAAGACCTCATTTTCTTTGATCCTCACAACAAGGCTGGGGGGAGGACTACTCTGAATATTTCTGAGTCTGGGGCTCAGAGAGGGGACGTCACTGGCCCAGGGTCACACAGCTGCTAAGTGGCCTCAGGGGACATCAGCCTCACCCACAGCCTCATACGAGACTTGCAGGCTCAAAGCCCTGCCTGAGGTACCCGTGACGGCTCCTGTGGGTTGTACTGTGAGGACCTACTGAGTGGTGAAATGTTCTCGGAAGACAGGATTCTGTAGACTGCGCTTTTTTTTTAATTACCCGTGGACGTACTGAACCATATTTGAAAGAGGTCATGAATGCCTTGGGTCATTGGAATGTTTCTAATCGCCTCTGTGATGTTGCCATCCCTCACCTACCGCCTTTTGCCATCACCTGCCCAGGCCAGGCCCACCTTCCAGCAAAGCCACAGGAAGCCTTGTTGCCTGGCCATCTGGGCCCCTACTGACTCCTTCCTGCTCCCTGAGACGCCCCTCCCGGCTGCCCCCAGCCCTGTGACAGCTCCCCCTCTCCCCTAGCACCTCTCCTCGGGCCGGTACAAGGGACACATTTCCCCTAGTCTTGTTCTCTGTTCCCCCATCCCCCTTGGCCCAAGGTCCCTGGCTCCTGTCTGAACTCCAGGCCTGACCCTACACTCACTGGATGCAGGGGAGAGGGTGACGGCAGGGTGGGCTTACCTTACTCTCCAGCCGTCCTATCAGCTCTGCCAAGCGGCTAATCTGGGCTTCCAGGCCCTCTTCCTTGGGGTCTGCAGAGACTAAGGAAAAGAAACAAAGATGCTGATTGTGGGAAGTGTGAGGCGCTCTCAGCCCTCCCAGTCCCATCTGGAGGCCCAGGCTGTATCTGGGCCACCGCCAGAGTCCCCCACCCCAGGGTGCCACTCTCTCACCAGATGGAAGGCTCTTCCCTTGTTCTGTGGCCCCCAGCTTGGCGCTGGGGGCGTGGGGGGGCACAGCGCTTCCGGACCAGGTCTCCACCACGCCGTGGCTGGCTTTGCTGTGGTTCTGTCTGCAGCTGGAGTGGAGGAAACACACTGATGACGGAGGCCGCAGGACCCTGGCCACTTGAACAAACACTAAGCACCCTTTGTGAGCAGAAATGCGCACAGGTGACCCGGTAGGGTCCCATTCCCGTGAGACTGCCATAATGGCCTTGGTTGCCTGAGGAGTAAAGGAGGCCCACAGACAGGTGCCTTCTGCAAGACCACACAGCTGGCAGGCATTCTACGATGACCCAGCCCTGGGTCTGTGCCCAGGGGAGCCGGGGTCCATTCCAGGGTTGACACTGAGCCAGGCTCCCACCCCACAGCAGAAGTGACAGCTTCTTCTCCCTGCTTCTCTGGGGTCAGGCGGAGGAAGCCTGGGTCTGTACCAGCTCGACAGGCCCCCTCTCTGAAAACGGGAGCCCTAAGACAGAGTCCGGAGAGGGCACAGACCAGCACAGAAAAATCAGTGCTCCTGCCCTCAGCCAGGCCCCATGTCCCGTCCCTGTCCACCGCCCCATGCACAACGATGCACAGAGGCACAGAGCCCTGGCACACCCTGATGGGCACACGCGGCTCATCACCAACAGTGTCTGGCCCAGGAGTGTGGGCTTGACCAATGCTCGGGGAGTGGCCAAACACCCACATGCAGAGATGCCAGGACACTCACCCCACACCCGCAAATACACCGAGATGCACACACACCCCTGGGCACGCGGCCAAAACGCCCTGTCCCGGGCCTCCTCCTGCCTTGGGACATTCCAAACTTTGTCTCCTGTGATCCTGAGAGTTCCACAAGCCATGCCCCCTGTAACGCAGGGCCACCCCAAGTCTTCCGGAAGGGGAAAGGCGGATGGAGTCTTTGAGGTGTCCATCCTGACGCTCCACAAACCAGCAGCAAATTCAGCGTGGCTGTCACACCACAAATGCGCACCAGGGGAGTCCCGCAGGGGCCCCGGGCTGGGAACCGGTAGCTGGCACCTGCACAGGGGAGCCGAAGGGGACCTGCCACATGGGGGCGAATTAGTGGAGATTCGGGATGGTTCGAGGTGGGGGAGTGCATGTGGAGATGTGCCTCCCCAGATGCGAGATGAACCTCACAAACGGTTTCCTCTGCCACCAAGGTCCCAAAGGAAGTCCCAGGATGGGGCTGGTGACACAAGATGGGACATGCACAGAGCAGGGAATCAGCCCCCGACAGCACCCACCAACACCTGTCCTACCGCGGGAGACAACACGCAGCTTTGAATCCAGACACTGACCCAGAAATGAAGGGAAACTCCATGTCAGCCTCCAGAGCTCTGGGGACCCATCCAGTCACAGGGCTGAGCACGGATGGAGGCAGAGCGGTGGGCTCAGCAACCCCGGACTCCAATGCAGCAGGCACGGGCAGGGGCGATGGGCAGGGGCCGGGCACTTGCACTTGACATTTCCCAGGTGCTGTGCCCACAGGGGCCCAGAGCACACACATTTGGGGAACAGCGTCCCTGAGCAGCTTTTGCAATCCTATCTAGCTGGGACCAGCCCTCACCAGCCACACATCACGTGCTCGAACTCCCCACAGGACGGCCACCGACAGCCTGGCCCCGGTGAGCCACTGTGGCTCCTCTCCACTGTTTGTCTTTATGTCTCCTCCACACCAGATGCATCGGCTGTTCTGGAAATGGGGGTGTGTCTCAACTTGGGATGGCAAATGTGAGGGCTCCTGGCCCCCAGGGGAAGGAGAGTGACTCCTCTCTGGACCCTGGGCCACCTTCCCCACACAGACGCTCATCCCTGACTTTGACATGCAAACGCAGCCTGAAATCACTGCACTTCTCTTCCCTTAAAGAAAGTCGGGGGTTTGGGGCTGCTACTCTTTCTCTGAGGCCTCTGAGACCCGGGTCTCCCCTTCTAACAGACAGAGGGGAGGGTAGGCCTTGGGCTTCCCTGCATCCCAGGGGCCTGGTTTTCGAGCTCCGTCACCGACGGTTCACGGAAGCTTCTCCAGTGATGGCGACCACGTAGTTTCCGGAATTTACCTCCGGGTTTCAAAAACGAGGCAAATCATAGAACAGTCCTAGGGAACAACCTAAGTGAGGGGTCCAGGGACGTGGCACACAGGTCAGGCTCTCGGAAACGGTCTTAACTCCGCGCGTGTGTACACAGCGCATGCGGGTCCCGTACGCAAACCCCGTGCTCTGCGCGGACAGCGCCTCATTCCACGCTCACGTCGCTGAAGAGGCAGGGATCGAATCGCCCCCACTTTCCAGGTGGGGAAATAGAGGCACAGAGAGGTGCAGCCCCTTGCCCAAGGCCCCCCAGCCCCCAAGCACACACGTGGCCCCAGCAAGCAGCAGATGCCGTGGGCATGGGCGACACGGCCCCAGGGGACCCAGGGAGGCCCGGGACACACCGGATCTGGCTGGTCTGCTCCTCTATGGCCTCCACGGCGCTCTCCACAGAGCTCAGCAGCGACTGGATCTGATTGGCCGTCTCCTTCAGAAGGAAGCGTGTCACAAACTGGTCCACGTTGCTCCCGCCCTCGTACACCTGTGGAGGGAAGGGGCACAGATGGGAGAGGGGTTACTGAAGGAACTTAGGGGTGGGGTCTGGCACAGAGCTGGGGGGGCACCAGGGGTTGGTGTCCGCCTCGCAGGAGGAAATGGGGACCCCAGGGCCACCTGCATCTGGGGGACAGTAGAGCTCCTGCGTCAGGACACAGGCTATGGATTTGGAGATGAGGCCGGAGCCCTGGCTTCACCATGCACTGGCTCCTCCCCTCTGGGACGATGACAGGAGACACCCTAGCATCTATCTCACAAGGTCATCTGGAGGACTGAAGGACAACACGCTCAGGGCCGTGCCTGTCCCAAAGCAAGTGCTCAGTGACCAGCAGCTGCTGTGATAAAGATGAAGCTGACACTGGTAACATGGATGATGATGGTGACGATACTGGTGGTAACGGTGAAGACAGGGATATTGGTGGTGATGGTGGTGACGAAGATGGCAGTGACAATGACGGTGATGGTGGCAGTGATAACAATGATGGTGATGATGGTGATGTGGTGGTGGTGGTCATGATGATGTTGATGGTGGTGATGATAATGGTATTGGTGGTGGTGGTGGTGATATGGTGGTGTTACTGATGGTGGTGATGGTGATGGTGACAGTGGTGGTGGTGACGAAGATGGCAGTGACAATGACGGTGATGATGGTAGTGATGATGGTGATGGTGGTGGTGACGGTGGTGGTGCGGATGGTGATGAAGATGATGGCAGTGACCATATGGTGGCAGTAGTGGCGGTGGTGACGGTGATGGTGGTGGCAGTGATGGTGATAAGAGCACGAGGACAGTGTCGTGAAGATGACGCTGTGAGGGCCAGCAGGGATGAGCGTGCTCACTGCCGGTGGTGTTCCTGATGTTCTTGCTGACAGGGAAGAATAATGCCCGGAACCCATCCCCCGCCCTCCTCCGAGGATGATTCCTTGGGCTCCCGGGCCTCCGTGTGCTCCTCAGAGAAACGGAAGAAGACTCAAGAGCGACCAGAGAGGTTCAATAGGCCCCTCTCAGGGAAAGACCAGAGACTCCATCTCAGAAGGAGGGGGCAGCAGGGAGTATGGGGGGAACCGGGAGACAGAGACTCTGAGGCCACGAGGAGAGCACTGTGGGGAGAGGAGGAGGAAGAGGGTTTCCACAGATTTTGCTCTGTGGCGGGAGACGCAATTGCCCCTTCTGTCAAGAGTCAGCCGCAAAGACATTTCTCAAGGCCCCTGGATGCAGAGGAGAGCCCCTGGCTTCCTGGGCTGACGGTGGAACTGAGAAGGTCTGGCTTAGCCGGGTCACTCAAGGATGATAAGGGATCAAAGGGCACCGGGTTGGGGACGCTGGTCCCCAGAACGCGTGCGCCTCTCGCGCCTCCTCAGCCAAGACCCACCTTCCGGAGGCAGCTGCCCGCACCGTGGAATTCCGCCCAGTCCCCGCAAGGCGAGGGATGACAGGGCTCTCAAGGACAGCAAATTAAGCCATCTGTCACTCTGACTGCAAATCAATTAGCAATGAGTGCACAAGGGAAGCATGGCTAGAGACAGAGAGGGAAACAGAGGCAGGCGTGGGGAGTGAAGGGAGCAGGGGCGGGCACACGCAGGGAGGTGTGTGGAGGGGGATGGCCTGTGCCAACACTGGCGACAAGCCCTGACAGAGAATGACTCTGTGGCAGAAGGTAGATAAGGCTCTCTCTCTGGTCCCCTAAAGCGTTTCAGTGACTGATTACCTTCCCCCGCAACGGCGGAAAGCGCTCTCAATCCAGGGATCAGCGGGCCCCGGACGAAGATATAATGGGGTAAGAACTTACATGCAAAGACAGAAAACCCGCTAGAAACCATCAGGCAGAAAAATGAGCTGCAGCAAGTGTGTTAGAAGCACCTAGATCTGTGGCTGAGGTTGCAAAGATCCAGGAGTGAAGTGGCTAGCTGAATTCCAGAAAGACCAGTTATCTTCCAAAGGGGTGAAAATGCAGCCTTTACAGATCTCTCCTCCACCGCCACCGATGCCTCAGCCAAGACACCAAATCCACAGATTCCAGAAGGAAAGAATCAGATCTGGAAATTCTGTACGGGGCGGACACATGACACAGAAATCGGCATATCTCTGAAATGCTACCAGATGAGCGCCTTTCCAGCCAGCCACGCCTCGGAATTTCCCCTCGAAATACCCAGGGTCGAATCAGAGAAAGAACTCGTGATCAGGGAAGTCGTGAGAAGTAGCAGCAGTGATGGTCCAATTAAATTTAAAGTTAGAGAGGCCAGGAAATAAATATTCATCATCGCTTCATTTTGATCCCCCTGGATTATGTCAATAAAGAGGGCACAAGTGGGGCGCCTGGGTGGCTTAGTGGATTAAAGCCTCTGCCTTTGGCTCAGGTCATGATCCCAGGGGCCTGGGATCGAGCCCCACGTCGGGCTCTCTGCTCAGCAGGAAGCCTGCTTCCTCCTCTCTCTCTCTGCCTGCCTCTCTGCCTGCTTGTGATCTGTCAAATAAATAAATAAAATCTTTAAGAAAAAAAAAAAAAGAAAGCAAGAAAGCAAGCAAGCAAGCACCCTGAGTTCCCTCTTGTAAGCACACAGTCCCAGACTTGAAATGAGAGCCACACAGAGGCACTTCTGAACCAAAACGGCAGCAGAAGATGAACGACGTCAAGCCTGTGCAAAAAAAATCCTGCCACCAAATTTGGTCAGATGAGCAGGACAAGTCGTGGTATCACTCGAGGATGGGATTTAGAGACACGGTATTCCACAGGTTAGAAGGGTCAGGATATAACGGCAAAATCTAGCAGAGCAAGGGCAGGGCTCTATTGAACCTTCATGCAATGGGTGAGAAAATGGCTATTAGCACGGCCGTGGAGGGGTGCTGGGGGGCTCAGTGGGTTGAGCATCTGTCTGCTGCTAGGGTCACGATCCCAGGGTTCTGGGATGGAGTCCTGCATCGGGCTCCCTGCTCAGCAGGGACCCTGCTTCTCCCTCTGCGTGCTGCTCCGCCTGCTTGTGCTTTCTTTCTCTCTCTCACAAATAAATAAAATCTTAAAAATAAATAAATAAATAAACAAACAAACAAACATGGCGATGGGGTCTCAGAGTGACGCAGCCACTTCCTAAAGCAATTCTGCTCTATACCCAAGCCGGGGACTGCTCATAAGCTTTGACCCAGTCATTTCACTTTTGATCACCCATCCTTAAGAAATCCTGCAAACTGTGCGTAAATGTTTATGTCCCAAGGTTACAGTACTATTTGTAATAGAAAAACCTGGTAATACTCTAATATGCCCCAAAGAGCAGAACAGTAAGTACCTTTAAATATGAATATTTAAAAAGATGCTCCTGGACAGTTTTAATAACATGGGGAAAGTATTTGCTAAAATATTAGATGGAAAAAGGCAAAAAAACAAGTTTTTGTGCACAGAACGATATTAAGTATATTGAAGAAAGTCACAGGGGAACAAAAAAGGCTCAGAGGTAATAAGGTAATAAACTAACATGATTAACAGCGGTGAGGACGGTGTGAGTCAGAAACGATTTGAAATTCTTCTTCATACTTTTCTGTATTTCCTAAATTTTGGACATTGAACCTGTACCACTTATATAATAAAAACATAACAGAAATCTATATGCGTCAAACAACACAGCTAAAAATATAGTAAGGGAACACATTAAAAATACAGAGATTAAATCATTCGGCGTGACAAATTAGCTCATCACTGTCTCAGAGGACAGATAAATTGGACAATAAGAACCAGGAATGGAGGGGTGCCTGGGGGGCTCAGTGGGTTAAGCCTGTGCCTTTGGCTCAGGTCATGATCTCAGGGTCCTCGGATTGAGCCCCGCATAGGGCTCTCTGCTCAGCGGGGAGCCTGGTTCCCCCGAGATCTCTGCCTGCCTCTCTGCCTACTTGTGATCTATCAAATAAATAAATAAAATCTTGAAAAAAAGAAGAAAAAGAAACAGGAATGGAAAGAGCATTGTCAGGAAAATGTGAAAGTGTTCACATTGGACAAGAAAGCTTCTTACTGGGTCTCCTGTCTAGTACCTCTGTGCTAAGTCTTCCTTTGTTTTAGAGTGACTCTTGACACTCTGTAGAACGTAGAATAGAGACGATACTGCAAAGAATTCTCATCTACAGAAGCACACATGAATTCTGTCTGGCAGAGTGCAAGGGACTGTCCCTGTCCCTGGGGACAGGGGCCAACTCTGCATTTATTCACAAAGTCATTCCAGAATTCCTGGTCATTTCTCTACATGGCGTGTGCTCTCTGAATTTTCCTTTGAGCTAGCTGTGACCTCTTACCGGTTCTCACCTTAATGCCTGAGTCTTTTCAATATTCATACTAATGATACAGAAAGTAGGAAGCTAAGATGAGTAACAAAATTAATTCTTAATTTTGATTATTCAGTCACTACTTTGAAGTAGCTCAAAATTAAATTATGAGTACCCTTTTAATTAAATAGAGACAACATGGTAAATCATATAAAGATTTGGTATGAAAAACTGTATATGCGACCCAAGTAATTGTAAATGAGAAATGTGATTTCTGTTATTTCTGAGATTAAAATTATTGAAGAAAATTCCTATCTGGAGACCAAAAAAAAAAGCCTTATTGCTTTAAGTGATTTTCTCAACTTTGAAACCAAAACTTAAGGAGTGACGGTGAGGGGAGGCCTGGGTGGCTCAGCTGTTAAGCGTCTGCCTTTAGCTCAGGTCGTGTGCCCCAGGTCCTGGGATCGAGTCCCGAGCTGGGCTCCTTGCTCAGCGGAGAGCCTGCTTCTCCCTCTCCTTTTCTCCCTGCTCATTCAGTCTCTCTCACTCTCAAATAAATAAATAATAATATCTTAAAAAAAAAAAAAAAGAAAAGAAAAAGAAAAGGAGGGGCGCCTGGGTGGCTCAGTGGGTTAAGCCTCTGCCTTCAGCTCAGGTCATGGTCCCAGGGTCCCGGGATCGAGCCCTGCATCGATCAGGGTCTCTGCTCAGCGGGGAGCCTGCTTCCTCCTCTCTCTGTCTG